ATGCCAGTTGGGAAGATATAGCTGTTGTGCTTTTAAAGGCACTAATTGATTTACATATCAAAGTTGGGAAATCCACGTTGTTTGGCAATTCTTTCAGTATAATTCAATTCAATGTAAGTGTTAACTATAACAGAGCAATGGACGCCCATTGTATTAAGAACCTAAATTCTGAGAGTTTAATGGATAGCAGATTATAGGAATTGTGTGGTAGGAAAATATGTTGGTATGTGGGCTTACAGTAAATATTAGTGTGGATTCTGCCATCTTTACAAGTGATAGATATGTCCAAAAAATGGAACAAGTGTCAATTTCTTGCTCCAAGCTTAGGAGGAGGACATATCAGTTGCTGTTGAGATTGTTAAGAAACAGATTTAGGTCCAGTTTTTTTGCACCACAAAATAAAAATATCATTGATTTACCTAGTGTAAATCACAATATGATGTAGAAACATTGGTAGAATCTCTTCGTCCAAACGGCAAATGACAAGTTCAGAAAGGATCCTGGAGATGGGGCTGCCCATGGGAACACCTATTCCTTGTACAGTACATAAATGTTGCTATCAAATGAGAAAAAGGAAGTATAACACACAAAATGTGCCAGTTCCATAATGTACTTGTGATTTTTGGGAGCATGTTCCATGTTGGTGAGTAGGAAGTCCCTAAGAGCATAGAAACAAGGAGATAGTTTAATAGATGGGTAGATATTGGAAGTCTATTACTGTTACGTACTCATCATCTGCCAATGCTGTTTTTAAGCCTGTCCAACAACTGTATTGAACTGTTAAAGGTAAATAGATAATGTGATTTTATGTTGTTTTAAAACCTTATTATTTGCTTTTCAAGTAAGAAAGTGGGTGAGAGCATTTTTCAACAATTGGCTGTATTTGGGTTGCAGGCTTTTGTGTTTTAGTGAAGGTAAAGATGCATGGAACCCTGGGTGCTAAGATGAACGAATTACGCATGTGGAGGACATTTGCTAAAGATGTGTCAGTGAATCATTTTACCCTTTATTGTAAGGAATTCAAGTAATATTCAATATTCAGTATAAAATCCTCCAGAAGAAATCAAGGGAGAGGAACATACTATGAATCAAATTGCAAGGTTTTCTCAAAGCATTGTGGTGGTGTTATATTATCCTATGTGATGATCGGGGATGTTATGGTGCAGTCCTCTTATGTTTTGCTTGTAAAAGATCCATTTGAACAAAATATATAAAACATTATATTTCTCTTCATTCTTTGGTCTTTTTCAAAGATGTAGAAGAATTGGATTTATGTTTTTTTAAATAGAATAAAAAATATTGCTTTATTGCATTTTCATTGGCAAAATTTAAAAAGTTTGAAAAAATTGTAGACCTATAAATTCCCACTGTCATTCGTCTGTCCATCTTTCCTTAATCTCGAGAATTGAGTTAGATACATGAAAGACAAGACCAGATATGAAAACCTTAGAGGAAGGAGGCCCCAATTAACTATATACAAACTTCTGATGAAACCAGAAGTGGTGTTATCTCAATTCAAAAATTTCCCCTGAAAGGTGTTAATTAGATGACTGGCACAACTCTATTATTAAAGGAAAAGTATGACGTGAGGGCAAACCATTACTAATTTGAGGTGGAGAGCGTATATTTTAAATTAAATAAATTAAAAATATGATTAAAAATTGCAATATTTATGAATTATTGCATGAATTATTTATTTTGCTTCATCCATATTAATAACCTTTTATTGAATTTCAAGGATAAATTTTCCTAAATTATAGAATGTTTTGAAAGTTTCTTTATACGAATAAAGTTTAATTCTTAATTTGTAAAAATAGTTTTGTCTTATTGGTTACAAAGTAAAAATATGCAATTCTGAAACAAAATTATTTGTTAATTTGCTAACAAAATTTAAATTTTTCCTTAGATTTCATCATTAAAAATAACAAAATTATCATTTGTTTTCAGTGAATACTTTAAGGCAGATTCGCCTCATCAAAAAGTAATCTTAATTGACTGTTCTAAAAATATTACATTGTTTACGAGAAAATATTTGTTTTGGATGTTTATTTTGAACTGTTTGTATAAAATGTGATACCAAAATAGAATTTTTAATATCTGATATATAATTAAAGATGTATTATTACTTATCCAGCAGCAATTTTCAAACTGTAGGCCTATACATTTCCACTATCATACGTCTGGGCGTAAGAATGCCGACCAGCACGCATCGTCACCCGTACAGATGCACAAACCTGCAAATTGCAACCTGCCAGAAAACAATACGTGGTACCCGCGCACAACTTGACACACGGCGATGACCACATCACTTTCGATTTTGGTATAACTAAAAGTTGTCCGGGAATTAAAGCCTCTTTTGGGGTGCTTTGAGAGCCTGTGGAAATTTGGGGCCCAGAGGTGTACGCCTGCATGGTAATCCTTCACGGGGTATAGTCACAACAGCGAATTAGCGTGTTTTCCTTTAAATCACTAGTTACCAATATATCAATAGTATATTTTGTACAAATGAAGATTTTATTTAATTAAAATTNACGTTGTACGCCGAACGAACGAAGTGTTGCCAGACCACTTGACGATTTCTCTATTCGTTTACTAATTTTAAAAATATAAACAGATTTTTCCATTCGATATTTATATTTAAAATTAATCAAAATTAAAATAAAATATTAGTAAGTCGATAAATATCTGCTACGATTTCTTTTAATGTTCGAAATATTACCGAACGAGCGCGTGCTCGAAATACCGTATATTCTTAAAAATGTTTATAAAATTATTATATTATTTCTGTAAAATTCTTAAATATTTCTCTACTGCAGCTTTGTTGTTAAAAATAAATTTTTAATCATTTTAAACCGAATTTTTATATTTTCTTATCGTTAACGACTGGAGAATTTTTTTGTATGTCGGAGTTGGCAACACAACACTGACACTCACGTGGTCGACTTGTGTTTACGTCGGAGATGGTTCGTGTTGGTTTGAGTCTATTTCAGTCCTTCAAAGTGAGTATTGTCGAGTGAATACGGTACTACACTTTATTGCTACATATCGATAATATTTTTATAAGGATGGCAAAATTACGAAATAGACAAAGAGTCGACCCGTATGGAAAATCGGGTCTTAAAATTTTTGAATTGGTAGAAATTATTATGATACGCTTCTTGTCTAGTCTTCGGAATGGCTTTGTGAGCGCTAAGATTGGCTTTACTTTACCTCTAGACTTATTACATCACCATAGGACATCAAATTAGATTTAGAAAAACACTATTTTATTTTCAGAATGCATTTCGGACATGGGAGTCCCTCATCAGCTTTTTGCTACAAAATTAATAGGAGGTTGACAAATTTTATAAAAAGACCATGATTGACAGAAATGAACAAAGAATATGGACTTACATTTGACATGTGGATTTGATGCGTTGAACATTAATTAAAAGACTAAGCATGCGATACAACAAGATTTTCCATTAAAAATGGTAATGTTGCTACAATAACATAATAATAAACTGAGGTTATGGTAAACAGTAAAGTTGTAAAAATATACATTAGTAACGTTGTGAAAATATACATTGTTAAAACAAAATGATAAGTAGATTCACAGTAACACGAACAGAGTAACAAGACGATTCAAAATACATTCCAGGGTAACAGTCACCCTCACCCCTATCCGTTTTCATACTCTCTCCTCCCCCCATACCTCCTCTGGTCAAATATGCATACAACGATTCGTGTAATTTTAATAAGCTTGGACAAAGAGAAATTCATGATTTTCTCTTTGTTTTTTTATTATTTCTAAGTGTTCGTACCATTTTGTTTTATAAGTATTTTGTTCCTTTTTAAGTATTTTGACAGTATCCTTTACAATCTGACAGCCTTCATTATTACAGTGGGTGGCTACAACTGAGCTATCATTGTTGTGTGCTATGTCAGAGATATGTTCATTGAAATGGACCTTTAATTTCCTACTAGTTTCACCAATGTAAGATTTGGGTGTGGTACAGCCACATTCAAATTTGTAAACAAAGTTTTTTTTGTTCCATATGTTAGCTTTTCTGTTAGGTACGTTTATTTTCTGATGTAAGCTGTTGCAATGTTCGGGTACCATATTATTATTATACTTAATTTACTTTTAATTCTTTCAAAAATATTCGTAACATAAGGAATTTTAAAAAATTTATAAGCAGTGTTGTCAGTTGGTTGTTTGTGTGCATTAACATATTTATTATTAAGCCAGTTACTGATCATGCGATTGCTATAACTGTTCATTAAGTACATTTGTATCATGGTATGCATATTTGACCAGAGGAGGCGTGGGGGAAGGGAGAAGTGTAAAAACGGATAGGGGTGAGGGTGATGGTTACCCTGGAATGTATTTTGAATCGTCTTGTTACTCTGTTCGTGTTACTGTGAATCTACTTATCATTTTGTTTTAACAATGTATATTTTCACAACTTTACTAATGTATGTTTTTACGACTTTACTGTTTACCATAACCTCAGTTTATTATTATGTTATTGTAGCAAGATTACCATTTTTAATGGAAAATCTTGTTTTATCGCATGCTTAGTCTTTTAATTAATGTTCAACGCATCAAATCCACATGTCAAATGTAAGTCCATATTCTTTGTTCATTTCTGTCAATCATGGTCTTTTTATAAAATTTGTCAACCTCCTATTAATTTTGTAGCAAAAAGCTGATGAGGGACTCCCATGTCCGAAATGCATTCTGAAAATAAAATAGTGTTTTTCTAAATCTAATTTGATGTCCTATGGTGATGTAATAAGTCTAGAGGTAAAGTAAAGCCAATCTTAGCGCTCACAAAGCCATTCCGAAGACTAGACAAGAAGCGTATCATAGTAATTTCTACCAATTCAAAAATTTTAAGACCCGATTTTCCATACGGGTCGACTCTTTGTCTATTTCGTAATTTTGCCATCCTTATAAAAATATTATCGATATGTAGCAATAAAGTGTAGTACCGTATTCACTCGACAATACTCACTTTGAAGGACTGAAATAGACTCAAACCAACACGAACCATCTCCGACGTAAACACAAGTCGACCACGTGAGTGTCAGTGTTGTGTTGCCAACTCCGACATACAAAAAAATTCTCCAGTCGTTAACGATAAGAAAATATAAAAATTCGGTTTAAAATGATTAAAAATTTATTTTTAACAACAAAGCTGCAGTAGAGAAATATTTAAGAATTTTACAGAAATAATATAATAATTTTATAAACATTTTTAAGAATATACGGTATTTCGAGCACGCGCTCGTTCGGTAATATTTCGAACATTAAAAGAAATCGTAGCAGATATTTATCGACTTACTAATATTTTATTTTAATTTTGATTAATTTTAAATATAAATATCGAATGGAAAAATCTGTTTATATTTTTAAAATTAGTAAACGAATAGAGAAATCGTCAAGTGGTCTGGCAACACTTCGTTCGTTCGGCGTACAACGTGATAGTGACGAGTTTGTGGATTATATCGCTTTGTTTCCGATTATTAAGTCGTCGAGATGAGTAAGGCTCACCCGCCCGAGTTGAAGCGCTACATGGACAAAAAGATGTGTCTGAAACTGAACGGAGGAAGACAAGTAAGCGGAATCCTTCGAGGCTTCGATCCCTTTATGAATTTGGTAATGGACGAGGCGGTGGAAGAGACCAAAGGAGGAGAGAAGCACAACATCGGAATGGTGGTGGTCAGAGGAAACAGCATCGTCCTGCTCGAAACTCTGGACAGAGTCGGATAGAAATTGCTCCCTTCTTGTCATTGTCGCGTTTTAAATTTTTGTAAAATAAAAAACAAGATTGTCTCCTTTGAATTCGTACGAATTGCTCCTTTACGCAGAACACCGGTTGGCGTTTATATTTTAACTGTATTTTTGTTTTACGGTTCGTTTATCGAAATGTATACTTTGTATCGTTAATCGCCGGTATGCCGAATGTATGTAGATATATGGCAGCCCTCTGACTCGATATTCATTAACAGGAATCCAAAATTTGTCCAGTTAAGATTGATTTTTTTTTTAGCCAAAGACAGCATGTTCCAAATAAATAAAATACTTTCGAGTGAAATCTATCGATATCGTTAATTTATAATGACAATACACTTATTTCTTAATACATCATTGATACGTACATTTCAATGCCAAAGCATGCTTTTATTTTTTTGAAATCGCAAAGTTGCGAGTTTAAAAGTTGTAAGTGAACTGGCGTGCCGACAAAGTCTAAACGTTTTTGTGTTCGAGAACGTTAGATTTCTGTAGAGTGGAGAGATCTTTGTGAAAGCCGAGCTCTTGGTACACTTGTCGCGTCAATATAGGTATCTGAAGGCGAAACCTAGATTTAAGAACTTTTTAATATTTTAGAGGAGTTTGTCTATAAGGGTATTATTAAAAGGATTATCAACTTTTAATCCAAATATATAAGTATATAGACAGTATTTCAATAGACAGACTTTATAGTCTGTCTATTGAAAGAATCAACTTGAGCTGTGTCACTTCAGTTAAACCAATTGGCACTTTTCACCTAATATGCCAGACAATAAATGAATTTTATTTTCTCTTGCTAGATAATTAACAGAAAAGTTGTTCTGCCGTGTTAATATTTTATACATTGGTCGAATGTAAAAAATTGTATGTTTTACTAATGTTATAGCGAACTTCCTTGTAATACAATGCCAGAATGCAAAGCTTCCACAATACCGTTTATAATGGCAGAGTCGTGTTTAACAAATGAAGTAACTTGCCACAATTAAGCAATCGATGGCCGATGCTCGTTGGTTAATATCCAAGTTGATTCTTTCTATAGACAAACTATAGTTGAAGTGAGCTAGTGTTTGTTTTATATAACAGTCTCGACACATTACAAACCGTTTCGAAATACAAGTTTTGCCAAAGTATTCTTAACAAAATATCCAAAAGTGTGATGCTTCTCTGTCTTGCATCTCTTGTTTCTGCCAACGAATGTAGCTTGATTGGCATGACTGACTGGCAGATGGGTAATGTGGGTCGGTGTCGGATTTGTAATGTTTCGCTGCAGATGACGCCTCCCATTTCGGTCGACCTTACCTTAAAGCAAAGTTTGAGGACGCAACCGCAGATTATGAGTGGCATTCTGCAGAAATTTGTTGTTACGTGCCCGCCCAAACCGTTCTTTACGGGTTGTGTGAAGTCGGGCTGCACGCGTGGCAACAGAGGGTGCCATTAACCGCTTAATGCGGAGCTACACGTCCGGCATGGTGGTGTTTTCGGTTGAATCCCACTTCTGTCTGTGGAGGAATGATGGCTATAGACAGGTGTAGCAGGAAACACTGCGTGGACCCTTTAAGCAGAGTGTCATGTTCAATTGGCGGTCGGCCCGGTGCAGATTTTCAGTATTCTGACAGTGGACCGGTAGGTCACACATACCGAGAGACCAGTGGTTTCACCACTGGTGAGGCTGTACCCGATACAATGTTCGATGGCACGATGCATGGCAAACTCTGCCACTTATTCATTACCAAATAAACTCTGATGCATATCTTTGTTTGTTCCTTTAATCATTTGCATATCTCTGTCACCACTACCAGTTCCGCAATGTGCAAGTGGCTACGCGATTTCATTTTTGAGAAGTACAGTTTAATATTGCTTTTACTTTAACAGAGATACAATAGTTTCTTTCTATTTAATCAAGGCTTTACTAAAACCAAGGAAGTTCAGTGGGTCTACAGATTTTTATCCTTAGTTCAAGTAGCCATCAAAGGAAATGTTTTTTCTAGTGTTTTGGGTCTAAAAAACCCACTTTGATTTGGTTTGAGTAAAGAGGTAACTGAAGTGCAATATATTAATAAATAAATTGTGTATAACACTTATAATCTTCCATGAAATTGCAGGCTAATTTCTCGATGGTTGTGGTTTTGGGCATTGTTCTTTTGGGATAAAACCAATCAAAGCTTTCATCTGTTCTCATAGAATAATTAATGCTTTTATTAAAAGCTTCAGTGACAAGTGGTGCAATTTTAATTCAATTGAAAAACTGTTTGAAACAATGTGAGTCTGTCAACTCCTTTGTGCTTCGACCTTAAATCCATTTCAGCGTGTGCAAAATATTATGAAACTGATGGAGCAAGAACCTTGCTGTTCTGTGTATACTTTTGGGTATGTTCAACTTTTCATATGGACAAATCATCAACATTTATGGATAAGCTTTGACAAATTTGGAAAGTCAATGATTTCTGTATTTAATAAGTTGTTAAAGTGACCTCTTTGGACATAAATTTAGAATGTGGTAACTCGAGAATAAAACTAGATAATTACAAGATATGTCATGATTTGGTATATCAAATCATGACATATCTTGTTTTATCCTTAATTATTTTAATTTGAACTGGTCAAGAATCTGTATAGTGCAAAAAATATCTAAACAATTAAATTGACAGAAGTCAGTTATCAAATGTTTGAACGAAAGTGCTTTTCAAAAGCGCTAATTAATTGATTTAACCTGATTTTGTGCACACCATTAAATTTTAGTTGAAAGGAGTTCTAGGACAAATGCTTTTAATTGATTTACCATTTGTTATGGTGTGAAGACCTTTATGGATTCTGTGCATGACTATGATTACAAAACAGTGCCGGCCCGAGGCAAGTTTTAGGATGGAGCGAGATCCTATTACGGTGCCCCCTTGGTTGCCCCTAATTTATACCCTTTAATGTTCTTTACCACTGAGGCGCCCCCTAAGACTTAGCAGCGCCTGGAGCAACTGCTCCGTTCGCCCTATGGTAGGGCCGGTTGTTACAAAATATCCATAAATACCTTTCCATTATCACCTAGGTCTGACGGCATAAAAATAATTAAGAGTGAAATTGATTGTTAACTACTTTTGCAATTATTTTCCTTTTACATTGAAGTTTAAATAAAGTAAAACCTGCACACAAGCAAAACAATAACCTTGATCTATCATTTCACCAGAAAATGGCAGTTATCACATGACACTTTTGACTGATCCTATAAATCAACTGTTGGTTAGATTTGTGAAAAAGTGTCATTACCTTTATATTTAGGGCTTTAAGTGGATGCACACGGGTGGCAAAATTAAGGCGATACCAAACATCAAACACCACTGCCACCAACTCTTTTTTGATGTCGACAATTACAATAGGTGATTGGTCGAACCCGTCGTTGGCAGTCTTAATTTTGCCACCAGCACGCATCTGCCTTTATTCTTACTGTATGATGACAATTAAGTTTAAATAAACTTTTTTTAATCCACATCCACCACTTTCTGGATCCACAAGCTGCCAATGTTTCAATATTTCAATTTTTCTTCTAGTTTATATTTTAATAAATTCACGAAATTTATTAAGGGACAAACGTTAATAAATATTTATACTTTTGTTAAGAAATTAGAAATAATTAATAAATAAAATAAACTCTTTTGAAAGTCTAGTTTTACATTTATGGATTAATAACAGGATACGTTGAAAATGATAATTCATTAGAAAGTTCAATTAAAACAGCTAAAACAATCAATAAACACTTTCTATAGATTAATTATTTCGCTCCTTTATGACCTTTTTTGTGTACCTGATATGTATGATATTTTATAAAAGTTTTTGTCTTAGAGACTCGACAAAACTATGAGAATAATAATTGAACTTCCGGTTACAACATTAATAAACAAATGAAACCAGGAAAATTTTAAACTTTATTATTAGTCTATAGAGTGATACAGTGCAATCGTTGAGAAGCTGCGCAGATTCACGCAGAAATATCCAAACAATTTGGCTATTTCGGGTTTACCACAAAATAATAAATGTAGTACGTCTCTCGAGACTGACTCCGTGTCGGAAAATATTACGTTAGACAATCTAGAGATTTATGACGATGATGGCTATTTAACAAACTGCGCTGTTAAATCATCTAGTGCATTCTCTTCCGGTTCGATTTTCCAGATTATTTTTATTCTACTCTTTATGGTTCCATAAATATTGGAATAAGATTTGAATTCATCATACGCATGAAAGATTAGAAGTATTCCACAGGGGTGGAACCCATTCTGATCTCTCAAAATATATTAAACTACAAAATAAATTTTGCAAATATTAATTTTATCCACACGATCGAATATAAAATCAAAAAAGAAAGTATTGAATTTTCTCCGATCCTTCCCAAGGTTACGTGTACCTCTATAAATAGTTTTGTATAAGGACGTCGATGGGTGCGAGAGTATGCTCGTTAAAGAACTTGACCGTATCTTTTAATAGGTGCGAGCGTTAAAAACCTCTGGTCGTAATCTTTTGTAAAAATAATACTAACGATCTCACCTATCATGTGATATCTGCCAGGATACAGATCATTTACAAGCACCATAATAGGGAGAGTGTTTAACTGCCAATGCCAAGCTTGTCGTAAGAGAAACAAAGATAGGAAGCTGCCTGCTCTTTCTAATAATCATAATAAACAAAAATCACTTTAACAATAACAATAATAATAATAGTTCTTAAACGAAACCTGAGAAACTAGGAAACAATCGTATAAATCTAACGCCGCTTCTTTCCACTCTGTTGGAGTGGTACGACGGAGAAGAGATCGTACCCATCGAACGTAAATCACATTTACGTCGTAATTACATCACAGCCGAGTCCCATTCAACAGACGGAACACAAAAATACATCGACGAAATAATATTTATATGTATGTATGTATATATATATATTTATGTATATATATAAACTTTTTCACAAGCTGCAAATTTATGTAGAGAAGATTATCTACACGAACCTACGGAATAAACGTCTTTGGTTTAGGTGACGGATACGCTACGTGATAAATAAAGAAGTGTCGACTGTTGCACCTTTCCCAAACGAGATCACCGTATACGTGTACACCACACACAAAAGCTGGCTTCAGAATGTTCGGGCAATGGGGAAGGATTCGACATAAAATACAAGAACTTTCACTGGACTATTTGCATCTTATACTCATTAACTTTCCCCGGCTTCTGAAAATAGACACACATCATTACCAGATAATTTATCACACCTTTCATCCAACATCTGCTTTTATAATAATAATCTTATAGTTAAAAAAGAAAATAAGTTACTCCCATTTACCTTTTCCCACCACCGAACTTTTGGCTGGTGACGATTTTTTGTTACGAGCTTTCATAGCAGACATATCTATCAAAAAATAAAGAAAATTATTATTATTTCAAAATAACAAACTCTCTTCAAACTGTAGCTTAATTTAATTTAAATGACAACTGCTGACAATTTTGGTAAAATCCTGCCAATGGCACCTTCTAATTAGAGTCAACAATGGGGCAGACATACATGGGGCTTTTTGACTGCCCCTCATACTATCGTACTTTGTTTAAATTATTTTAAAGTTTGACTAAACATATAACATACGCCATAAGAATTAAAGTTACAGAAATCAATGAATAAAATATACGCTACTAAAAAATTTAAATTTAATGAATGTTGTTATTAATTAATAATCATATTAATTGTACAATCTCTTTTAAACATGTTTTAATATACCTAATATCTTTGTTGAGTCTTGCAATATCTCTACTCAATGTTTCAGTGGATATGGGTATTTTTGTAATTATACATTATAATTAACAATAAGCCTTTAATCCCTTAAGATATTTGATAGAAATATATTTTCATTGTAATTATATTCTATGTACAGTACGTGTAATAAAGTGTTATCACACACCTGAAACTGTTAATCCCTTATATATCCCTAAAATGCATGTCAGTCCCTGGTGTTAATTAATGGCCCTCTTCAGTTTGGTGAACAACATTTATAAAATACTAGCTGTGATTGGCCACACGTTGCTGTGGCTCAAAATGTATCTATTATAAATGTATAACACTCCCCGTGGGGGGAAATTTCGAAAAATCCCTTCTTAGTGTACATTCTCTTCACATAGCCTATTAAAATGCAAAAAAACCACATCTAAAATAGTATAATAGAAGCTGAGTTCTTCACAGTAAGACTTAATTTTGTCCCTCTCCCCCATGGGGGGAATTTTGACATCTATATAATATAAAAACATGTGCATATTCGAATGCAACATTGTTTCAAAATTTCAAAGCAATCAGTGAAGAACTTTCAGAGATTTAAGATTTTGAACAAACGAACACTTACATTTTTATTTATATAGATAAGGTAAAAATTATTTTAAAGAATTTATTGCAAATATTAAAATTATAACAATCAAAATGTTTAAAACCATACACTTAGTTATCACAGCTTTACAATTCACTGCGAACATCTTGACACCATATTATGCAACACAGTGCGATATCTAAAAGGGCTGTAGTTTCGCAGATCTTGCTGTCAAAGATCTTTATGGCTTTATTACATCTCATACGTCACTGAGCCCCACCACCTCTTCTAAGTGATCAAATAGACTCAGTATCATATGTTGACCTATTAATTATCATTTATCTTATTCTAAATTTAATGAAATCCACAACTAATCTTATAAAATCCTGAGTTACCTTTCCCCATTTGGAGTGGTATATTGAAACTTTAATACTTGCATGAACATGCATAATACATTCCTGTAAATCTACCTTTCAGTTTTTGTATCTAATTGATTATTACCATTCACTTGTACATTAACCTAATGAACTGCTTTTACCACTTACATTTGGTTAGTTATGAGCTGGTAGGGCTAGAGCTACTAGGCTATGTTGCCTCTGCCTAGAAATCATAGATTAAACAGTTGAATTCTTTATGGTATTAACACCAAGGTAGTTGTGCCACCTATTATTAATTCTCATATTATCATTTATCAAATTATTTCTGATTTTTTCTTTTATTATGGTTATATTTTCAAGTAATTTTAAGTGTATTCTTTTTTCATTATTATTATTTTTTATAGTGTTTTTATTAATTTCACAACCAGATTTACAGCAATGTTGAGTGATTGTTGACAAATCACTATTATACTGTATAGCTTTAATGTGTTCTTGTATATGGGTTTTTAATTGATGTTTGGTTTCACCAATGTAAATATCCGAATTTGTACAATTACAACTGAATTTAAACACCACACCACTCTGTTCAAATATACTGTTGATTGTTTCTATTTTCAATTGGATATTAATTGTATTCAATATTCTAATTCAACTGTATACAAAAACTGAAAGGTAGATTATAATTAACTTCTTGTATAAGTTATGTCTTAAAAATTTTTAAGCCAATTAATGCCTTAAAATTAATGGATCTAATGTAACTTTATAGACTGGCACACAGTGCAAGTAAAATAGCGATACAGGAATTTATTATGCATGTTCATGCAAGTATTAAAATTTCAATACACCACTCCAAATTGGAAAAGGCAACTAAAAATTTTATAAGATTAGTTGTGGATTATTGTTTTTAGTATTAAACACTATATTTATTCTCTACAAAATGTATTTTTAGTGTCTAAAGCGAATTAATTGGATTTACATTGATTCATATGGAAGTAATTGGCTTAGTTTTTGTCGGCTTCGGATTTCGCCAATTGTTTTCAGACAGATTATCGACGAAAACAGAGGTATCACTGTATATCACATAAGAATAGCAACCAAATGGCAAAAATTATTTGCATGATTATTAAAATTATAAAATAATTTAGAAAATTACAGTAATGTAATATAATTTTCTGTCTAATTTAATCTAAGACAGATATTATAATTAACTTAGTGACAAATAAATGTCACTAAGTTAACAAGCGCTTTCGACGATAATTACTTTCATGTTCGTCAGGTTAATAAAGATGGTTAATGTCCTTTTTCAAATATGAATATCAAATTATTCGAACGGTATTAATGTTTTGGAATGAAACCAACGATGGAACGTAATATAAATAATTTAAATAAAGCACGTGCAGTTATAACATGCATGTGCTATAAATCCCCAAACTGTGGAGCTAGATACGTTGTCTTAGGCTGTTATACAAGTTAACCTACAAAGGGGGCAAATCAAATGTGGGGGTATTGCATGGATTTAGTACGTTGGTAAGGAGGGCCTCCCAAATATACACGAGGTTTCTGTTATTACAATGTCTTAGTATTACCACTTGGTCCCACAATGAGGTGTGTCGGTGTTGCAACACCATTCTAGCAAGCTCAGTATCACACTTGCCTGCCCTGATAGAACACTGATGTTCCGAAATATGACAGGACAACATTCTGGTTGTTGTGCCAATATCGTGGGTGCGAGCACCCGATGTATTTTCCAATGGGATAGAACAAAACCCCAGATCTTTTTAGTGTGGAAACAGGATCTATGTCGTTGGATAGTAACCTCCTAAGGTTTGGCCGTGGAGAGACTGGTAGAAAAAGTGCATGCTGCCTAAAAATACGGCAAATGCAGACAGTGATACGGTCACAAAATGGTACCATGGGAAGGACTATTGTGGATTCTTTTGAGAGATGTAGCGTAGTGGTGGGAAAAAGTAATCTTTTTACTTTATCCCAAACTTGGCATTAGTATAGCCCGCCTTATTTACTGCAGAACGAATAGCATTACGCTTGGTATCAATAGCGATTTGGTTGGAAGATAACAGAAAGGCCCTTCTGATTAAAGGGGCAATTGCCGCATTGATGTAATGTTGCGGCTGGTATGCTGTAGTAGGGATCAGGGGAGGAACACCACTGAATTTTTGAAAGATGAAGTATCTAAGATACTTGTTTCCAAATTTACTTGTCACTAGGCTAAACCACAAATAACCATTCCCAGTTCTGTATTTTATTTATNTGCAGACAGTGATACGGTCACAAAATGGTACCATGGGAAGGACTATTGTGGATTCTTTTGAGAGATGTAGCGTAGTGGTGGGAAAAAGTAATCTTTTTACTTTATCCCAAACTTGGCATTAGTATAGCCCGCCTTATTTACTGCAGAACGAATAGCATTAAGCTTGGTATCAATAGCGATTTGGTTGGAAGATAACAGAAAGGCCCTTCTGATTAAAGGGGCAATTGCCGCGTTGATGTAATGTTGCGGCTGGTATGCTGTAGTAGGGATCAGGGGAGGAACACCACTGAATTTTTGAAAGATGAAGTATCTAAGATACTTGTTTCCGAATTTACTTGTCACTAGGCTAAACCACAAATAACCATTCCCAGTTCTGTATTTTATTTATAAATGCATTTTTTATAATATATGGTTAATAAGAATCTATTTTAAGCTTACAAACAAATAAATTTTAGTTTTTAATATAGTACAGAGAAAAGTAATCTAAATTTACAAATTCATGTACATACAGTACATACTTGTATATGTACATGTTTAAAATTTGGCGATGTTTACAGTACATCATGGACTCTTTATTTGTGTGGTTTGCTCTAAGACATTATAAAATAAGATGATTTTGTAAGGTTAAATAATAAATACAGTTATCAAAATTATCTTGCGACAGTAGAAAATAAACTAATTTATATTAAATTTACCAATATCGAGTGGCACTGACAACGATGCCAAATGATAGATATTGGAGCTACCGTGGAAAACACCAATATTGAGCACTTAAAGACTGCTAAATAAGATGACAACACAGAAACACAGATGTTTTCATGTTTCGTTCTCTAGGATTTATGATGATTATATTAACATTTACTGTAAAAATACATATTTTAATATGATTTTATGTGCTTTAATGCTTTTCTAGTGATATTACAACTTCAATATTTGTGGTGGACAAAGTCGAATAAAATGAGTTAAAATTGATTTTGATTTTTCCATTTATTTTCTTGACAAACAACATATAATCGAGGTATACCTGTATACTCATTTTGTGAAATGCCATTTAGGACAGCAGATATATGGGCCTTCGCCGCAACGGAGGAAGAGGTAACCAAATAGGAAGAAGGTAGGAGCCCATTTAATTCGTTGGCCTCGTTGATTTCATTCCAAAACATTAATACTGTTTGAATAATTTGATATTCATATTTGAAAAAGGATGTTAACCATCTTTATCAATCTAACGAAGACGAAAATAATTCTCGTTGAAAGCGCTTATTAACTTAGTGACATTTATTTGTATTTTACGCCAATATGTTAAGAAATTTCTCGTATTAAATGATTGGCGTGCTGTCCAATTCTGATTTGTATTATAATTTTATAAATTATTTTAGAGACATTTAAGTCATTTCCTCACTCAGAGAAAAAGGTATGAATATGTGTTTATCTGACCCTACCTCATTCTTTACTTTTTATTAAACTGTTTATTAAAGCTATCCATCTACCAAAGCCGAATATTATCGGGCAAGAAACAACTATAATACTAATAATTTAATAGACAATTTGGCATTAGAGTTAGGCATTAGGTGCCATCTCTTGATAAATTTAATAATTATAAATTAATTAAGTAATTTAAATAATAATAATTGTATCGGGTATAGTAAAGATGTTTGATTACCGTTTATTAATACTGGATTATAATCTACTCACCTGGACTTCTTTTTATTATTTGTAAAACTATTTATCACTGAATTTATCTAATACCATAAAAACAATCTTTGTTACAGAGCTTGAATTCTATTAACATTGCCCCTCTACGTATAATATTTGCAAAGTACTATAAAGGACATTGACAGCAATTTCTAAATTGAATTTTCTAATTCTATTACAAACTATTATTTGATGACTGGAATGAGATTAATGTGAAATAAGAACTACTTATTTGATGTTCTAAAAATACTAAATGCATTATTAGATTTAAAATCAATACTGTTTACAGAGAAATCCAAACTAGAGAAACTCAAAGAATTGATGAAATTTTTGGAAATAACTATAAAGCAATTTCTATAATTTTCTCTTCATTATAAAATCTATTTACTATCATCTATTTAAATGTGTATTAATACATAGAAGCAACTTTTAGATACTGAATTTTTCATTTGTCAAAACAAAACAAAACAAAAAATTATTATTATTATTATATATATCATAAATTTCAACCTGAAGAAATGTTTGGAATTCTGCGTCCATCACCATCGGCTGCATTCATGGCATTCATACTGTAGAAAAAATGTGATGAATATCGTCATAATTTTTTCCTTATATTTTCAAAAAATATCAAGTCTCACCTTCTTTCCATTGCTGCGGGAGACTGATACGGTATCATACCAGGCCTGAGAGTGGGAATTCCGTGATGTTGACCGGCTCGAATAGGTTTTGCTATTAAATACAAATTTATTTGTCGTCAATAAATGTATCTAATAGTTTATATTAGATAATTACATTATTCACTTACCAATCTGTGCCATGTGGCCTCTTCTAGAAAGATTCTTTTGCCTGACTGCTTCCTTGATACGATCGACCTCATACTGATACCTAGAAAAATTTTTTTAATTAGAGAAACTTTCTATTTTTAAACCACAATTGTTCATACATACCTTTTACGATCACGCATGGCATTTTCTTTAGCTTCTTTAAGAGCAGTCTCCAGAGCTTTCACTCTCTCCATTGTAACTCTTAATCTCTTCTCTAATTTTGGTAGCTCACATCTGAGATCGGCATTATCACGTACCAACTGAAAAATTTAGAGAAATTTGAATGAGTCTTAAAATTTCATAAAAATCTTTAAATTGTTTCATTGATAATAATAAATATTGAAAATACACCAATTCTGACCTGCTTATGGACTTTAGTAAGTTGTTCTAAATTGTTTTCCAAGAAAACTATTTTTTGCTTTTGTGCGAGACTTCCCCCACTATCTTCATTATCGTCACCGATTGCAGATTTCTTAACCCTGCTCTGAAGATCTTGAACGAACAATTTGCGTAAATTATGCAATGTTTGCAGTTCTTTAGCCTGAAGAAAAAAAAAATTGAATCAAGACTTTTTAAGCAATTTAATTTTGTAAAAAAAATATTTATTCTTCTAATAAATTTCTGTAACTTATTACCATATTTTAAATATTTTATTTTACTTAACATCTATCTATAGAATATTAAATCGCAATCTTCATAGCACAATCAAAATCATTATCTATAGAATAGTTATTTTCAATTTGATTCAATTACTAGATGTTCTTTATACTAGCTTAACAGATATCTGAAGACAAGCAACTAGCTTAAAAGTACTCATAGGTATTTTTGTTGTATTTTAAACTCCAATAAAGCAAATTTTTCATCTCTGAAATTCAGAATGCATGAAGCTGGCCTACAACAGGCAAAAATACTTTTTTTTATAATAATATATTTTGGTTATCCGAAAAATCAGTTTACATTTCTCTTAATTTTATTGGTTCAATAAATACATTTTCACCAAACTTTATAGATTCTTATAGAGTCATTACATCAATAACTTTTGAATAAATTTATACGTACGACAGTCTCTTCCAATCCTTTCAAATCCTGACGAGCTTGCTCACGTCTATCACTGAGTAACCTGAAAACAAATTTATTTCAATTTAAACATCATTGTTCAATCTAAATTCAATTCAATGTTGAGATTAATAAATTATCCATAAACCAAACAATTACTACTAAATACAATAGCACAAGCCAGTGTTTCCCAACCCTCAAGCCGCAAAAATATTAAATATTTTTTATAATTTTGAATATGTCCTTTTTTAAAATTTTATTTATCTTTCATATTTGTACTGCCAGATAACCAAAAGAAGAACAAGGTACTCACTAAAATGCCAATTGTCGAATTTGTGGCATTGACATACCCCTTCACAAAAGTTTCATGCATCAATGCATATACTGGCATACCAACTCTTTGGAGCCTCTATAAACATTGCGGCTTACTAGCTTAAAGAACTTTAAAAACCAATACTAAATCATTACATATTGATTCAAATAGTCTTTTTATTTTTATAATATATTTGTAAAACTGTGAAGTTTTCTCTTGGTAAGTTTAACTTTCATATTACCAAAATTTTTAAAAATTAACCATAATTTATTTTTAATTTTCCTTGTCAATTAGTCATCCCTGAATTAAGAAATTATGCAAACAACAGGTACAAATATCACATTAGAATTAGGACCTTATCTTCAACAGTAGTAATTGGCATAGAAGTTTACCTCTGCTACAGAAGCAAATTTCAATGTCAATTAATTTTATTACCGACTTATATAATAATAAATTTAACTCTACCAATATAAAATTCTACAGCTAAATACTGAATTCTTTCATGTAGTAGCAAACAACACACTTTCAATACTTTGAAATTTTCCATTTTAATCAATTATTATTATATTATTGTCTACTTAGGGCTTAGCATATTATTAGGACTTATTATATACCAGTATAATAAGTCCTAATAATATGCTAAGTCCTAAATAGACAATAATATAATAATAATTGTATAAAATAAGGACATAATGGCAATTCGGCAACTGAATTTTCATTTTAATTCTTATCTTACATACTATAATTTAATTCATTATCAAAACAACATATTTAATTGTTAACAACAACAATTGAGCTGTTCACAAAACAAATCGACTAACTCCATTTGTAAATCCTTAGTATAATCATTATTATTTTCAAATTTTTTGCATAACTAATTTTATATATCATTATATTAAAGATAAAAATACATTCTGTGATGTTTACTTAAAATTAAAGTTTAAAGGGGATTTTAGAAAATAATTTATATTATCAATTTTTGAACTTTTTGTATTGTGGAGATAATCGATTTGGCACGTGAGCAGCTCAATTATCACTACTTTTTTAACATTAATAAAATAAACTAATTCCTCAACAAAAATTGATCTGAAATAACAGTTATTGTCATCAACTATTGTTTCAGAATGGAGCTAATTTATTCACTTTTGTTTTGAAATGTTTGATGTAATGGCAAAAGAAAGATCACACTGATCTTAGCTGATGTTTTAGTCATATATTAATAAACAATGGTAATTTTAAATTATAAATTATTTTTTGAATTATATGAAAATAACAAGACAAAAATAGAATTTTGAATATTAATTTAAAAACATTCAGAGAATGAATGACTAATAAAAAAACAAATAGATAAAAAGAAACAAATGAATATTTTTATATTATATCCACAAATATAAAAAAGACAAATTAAATCATAGAAGCAAGTTTTACAAATCATAATTAACATTCATTTAATAATAATCAAAGTATGTTAATAAATAATTCAGTAATATTTACATTAATTCTTGCAGTTTCTGACTCTTTTCTTGTTCCTCTTGTTTTAACTTTTCATATTCCTGTTGCAAACGTTCTTGAGCAAGTGAAAGTTTCTGGTTAGCGCTACAAAAAACAAAGATAGATTTTAAATTTTAAATGTTTAAAATATTAATTGTTGTTGATAATTTGAATTCTTATTAAACACTTATTATAACAATGACATTTATTACATCTTTAGAGAACATATCTAAATATTTATTTATTTTTATTGAGTAGTGTAATGTTAAAGCAAAGAAATAACATATTTAAAAACAAAAAAATTGGAACAGATACTTATTGCTTGATGAAAATAAGCAAATACTGTTCCATAAAATTAAAAAAAAACCACCTTTATCATATTTAATCTTTAAGTCCCAAACTTTTCTGATTCTTGGCACGTTTGCTAAATCTAGATTTCCCAAGGTGCTCCATGTCAAATTCTAACAAGTACAATTTGCAAAATAGCCAAGATTTTTTAAAATTAAGTAAATTTATAAAAATTTTATAACATTTTGTTGTGCTGTGGCACACACTTTGGGAACCACTGCTTTAAGTAATAAAATGAATATAAATTTAAAAATGTATTATTACTAATATAAAAGCTGTTGTCTGCGTGAATTCCTTATAACTGCTGCAATCTTTGTCCAATCAAGATGGAATTTTGGTTATATACATTTTATGTTCTGACGGAAAGTATAGGGTACTTATTTTGTGAAAATATTAGCTATAGAATAAACATTTGATCGATTTTAAATTGGTGATCCTACTTACATTGCAGTGACTGATGTCACTGCAATGTAAGTGCGATTACCGATCAGATATCTGGGTCTATAGCTTAGAGTCCCATCTTAGATTTAACTCATTATTCACCAACTAATTACTAGAAACAGAATGAAATTAAAATGCAAGTAGAAATTAATAATAATTTTTTTTTTATTTAACTTACATCAAACTTGCATTTCATTTTACTAAAATTTAAAAATATATCCAGTTGTATTACATTTTAGTATTATTAAAGTTAAAACTTTAATAATAATAATAAGAAAAATAGATTTGGCCACCAACTTCCAAATGATTATACTAATTTACAGTCCCCAAAATAAACCAACTAACTCCTTGAAGATTGCCAATGACGAAGTTGGAAATCCCTGAATTACATCAACATTTATATTAACTTAAATGTAGAGTGTTAGTACCCTTTTATAGATAACATCTTTAAATATCTTTTGAAATGAAAAGCACATTGATAATTCAAGAACACTTGATAATTATAACTATTATTTGAATGTACATACTCTTTAAGTTGATCAATAAGAGTCTGTTTATCTGCAATTTCATCTCTCAGACCAGCTAACTGTTTATGGTGAGTTTCTCGATGTTTCTCTATCTGTTGCTCCAAAGCCAATTTCATTTTTTCTGCAGTATCTTTTTCTTTTTCCTTTTCTTTACTAGACATTATATGCATTTCCTCTGCAAAATTAATTTTTTTTTTTTTGGTTTAAAATTTTTGATTGGCAACTTGACTAGTTATTAGTTTCTTTACAATCTTACCTGCAGCTTTCAGTTTAGCACATTCTTCATTTAACGTGTCCACGGCTTCTTCTAAAGATCTTTTCTTATTTTCAACATCTCTCATAGATTCTTGAAGAGAGGCCATCTTCTTTTCATACTACAACATTTAATTATGTAATTAAAATATGACAGAAATATTAAGTTAACCATGATTACGAATATTAAGAAACCAAATTTTATTATATTACAGTGGAATGAACTTTTACTGTTGCCTTTACCAACATCAAATTTCAATTTTATACATACACCAGCTAGTTTTTACTGTACCACCACATTGTGATAGCAATACAACAAACAAAAACAAACATACCATGAAATCTTGTAGCATTTTATTCGATAAAATTTCCAGATTTAATTAAGCTCCATCATTGTAAGTGCATTAAAAAAATTCAAAATCCACCAAAATACAATTCTGAATATTAAGAACTAACTAAATGAAACTGAGCTGTAATATTGAAGAACAGAAATGTAGTTTAAAAAAATCAAAGTACAAGCTTATATTACTTTTCCTAAATAATTTATTATAACATCAGTACATTAATAGGAATTCTAAAATGTTTTCTATTGTTTAAAATTCAAGTAGTAATAATGTTTTGAACAAATGAGCAAGATAATTACAATTCAAACTGTATACTTTATCCTAGTTCTATTGATAAACTTCTATATAATATTCAAACATTATTACTGTTTTTTGTGATTAAATGTGTAACATCTGAAACTAATATCTTGCTCAGAATACTTTTATCAATGTTCCAACAGTAACTCAGAGTTGCACTACCAAGTGTACTTTTTGTATTAGGTAAAAATTTTTTTCATAATGGTAAAGTGTTGAATAAAAAATATTTTATTGTGAATTCAGCTGCTTTCCATTTCCATTGTCATACTCACTTCCATTCATTCCTATTTTTATCTAACAATTTTAACTAATTAATTCCTTAGAAAGAACATTCAATTAAAAACAGTATCAAGTAAATTAATACAATACTTTCATTTGGATGAAATCACAAGATAAAAATGGTTAGATTAATTTTAGTGTCTTATTAAATTCATTATTCTCATCTCATTTGCTACGGACCCACATACATTAACAGTACTCCTGAGATATGACAATGAAGTCTTTAAAAAATTACCAGTTTGTTTTCCAATTGCATGAATTCATTGGAGTTATTATTTGTAGAAAAAGAAGTTAAGCTAAGATGTAGTGATTGCTAATGCTTCTATTATTTTTGTGTCATTGCATATAGTTTATAATAGGTATATATATATGATTTTATAAATATTTACCTGACTGATTAGAAGTCTGCATTCAGCTAAATCTTTTTCATTAGCATCAATTTTCTTATTGCAATCAGACTGGAAAGTTTCCAATTGATGACATCTCTGAAAGACAAATTTTTCAAACTTTGTGTAAATTTATAATAAAATGATACTTTATTATTTTCTGTTGTTATTTTTAGATTTAAACCAATGTTTTATAATTGTTTTATATAATATTTAAATATTTATTATCTTCTAACTTGATTACTGGTATTAATGAACACACTTGAATCTTTATTTCTGGTAACATTTCAATTTGGGAACAAATGTTTTCAGCCTCCCCCAGGTCTGCTACTGGTTAAATTAAAATTAAAACGGGATTCCAAACTTAAAAACATCTTTCTTTGGAACAATTTAAAATGTTAAGATTTTAAAATAAATTGGAACAAGGTTATATGAGTGTGCTATGAAGCATCAGCGACATCTTGCTCTTCTCATATGTAGCGCCAGGCGTATGATAGTGCATTGCCGTCTTTAGAGTTGATGCATTTCCCCGCTAGGCCAGCCTTGAAATTCCCATTTTAATTTTAATTTAACCTGAAGCAGACCTCGGGTGAGGCCAAAAACGTTTGTTCCCGAATTGAAATGTTACCAGAAATAAAGGTTTGTCAACTGTGTTCATTTACATATCCACTAAAATCTACTTAGTCAAAATTCAGTTTGAATTTAAGAAAAATTGTCAATTCTCTTATTCAAAATAGATAAATCTAAACAGAATTTCTAGAGAACTAAATTCTTCTCTAAAATACTTCCAAAAGTCCAAATACAATGAATCTTTAATTTAAATTAAAAACAATCATTATCTAAATATTGTAAACATTTTTAAAAATCTGTAACTACTACATTAAAATCAATATAATCTAGAAAATATCTTACTTGTGCTAATCCTTTAACTTCTGATTTCATTTTGCTAATATATAACCGAGCCATGGTAAATTCCTCTTCCACTTTTCCATTAACATCTGCTGAAGGCTGTTAGAAAAAATTAAACAAAAATGTTTTCACATAAAATGTTTCAAACAAAATTTTACAAAAATATGACTAAAACTTACCTTCATGTCAGCTGTATTTCCACCAAGAACCACTCCGATTTCTCCCAAATCTTTCAACAAGTTAGTCAGCATTTCTGTCACACGACGTCGTTGATGTAAAGAATTATCTTTTATTTGTTGTAGTTCATTTTGAGTAGAGTTCAGTTGCGACTAAAATTTAACTCATTATAAATATAGTTTACCCAAGACATTAAAATTGGCAAAACTTTATTAAACTGTGACTAACCATTTTTTGATTGAACTCCTCATTCAGATTTTCATAATCTCTGTTCTTATTTTCTACTTCCTGAGACTTTTGATCATAATTAACAGCAAGTTCCTCTAATGCTTGAAGTACTTCTTTCACTTCTTCTTTAGCAGACTCATTTTCTTGTTGAATTTTGTTCATTTCTTGTTGGAGAGTTTCAAAATCTCGACGGGTAGACGAAATTAACTGTAAGTAAACATTTTATATTTTATTTCCATATATTGGGTTGTTCAAAAAGTAATTTCGTTTTTTCCATGGAAAAAAAAACACAATATTTATATAATAAATAAATATTTTATTGAATTATATATCGACCATTTTGGTCAAATACCTGTTGTCATCATTTCTGGTAGTAGCATGATTTCACATTCATAAAAGTTTTGCTCATTGCTTACAAAAAACTAATCCAAGTGATTTTTGACATTGTCATTTCAAGTAAATGTCTTACAGTTAAAAAAAATCTGTGTAGACCGGAACAAGTAATAATCTGAGTGTGCTCGATCTGGCGAATATGGTTGGTGTGATAGCACGTCCCATCTAAGTTATAACAGTTTCTGACAAGTTACCAAACTTGTATGAAATTTGACGTTATCGTGGTAAAACATTACACATGTTTTGTTGATCAATTCTGGCCGCCTTTCCTGTTTGATGATACTACTCAATTTGTTTACTCGATGGCAGTACACTTTCCAATTAATTGTTAAATCGTCTGGTAAAAAATCCAAAAAAAATTTCCTTAAAATCCCACCAAAGAGAGCATCTCTCCTTAAGAACATGTGGAGCCCATATATCAAGCTTTGAAACAAAACCAATCTGTTTCAAGTAGTCATAAACAGTTCAATTTGACAAATTTAATCTCTTAGTGATTTCACATGTCGTTATTCGGCAGTTTGCTTCAATCAGTACCTTTATTTCGTTTTCATTGGCTTCAACTGGCCATCCAGAACGTGGTGCATATTCAATATTGAAATTGCCAGAACAAAATTTTGTAAACCAGTTTTGGCACTGTCGTTCTGTCAATACATCTTCTCCATACACGTCACACAATTTTTTTCTCACTTGAACATCATTCTTACCTTTTCGGTAATAAAAGAGCAAAATATGCCGAAAATGCTGCTTTCGATCTTCCATATTTGATGGGACACAAAAAATAAACAATAGCACAAAAGCAAACAAAATTTTTTACAAATAAGCCTTGAAATGCTAGCTGTCAAAATATATAATAATAATATGGTTTAGAATGAAAATGGCGGAAAAAATACGACTAATCTGTCTAGTGGTAAAAAATACAAATTTTATTAATATAAAAATCATTTGTATTCACAATTTTTCATTAATGTATTTTTTTTTAGTTCCATTTTATTTCAACCATAAAATTTTTTGACATGTTACTTTAATTGCAGACAAAATGCAGCAAAATAAATTTCAAAATTATGTTTAATGAATGTAAATTAGAAGATTACTTACTTCTTCCTGTTCCAACATCTGTTCTCTAAGTTTTTCAATTAACTGGCTTTGACGATCGATTTCATCATCCTTTTCATCCATTTGTGCATACAAGCGAGTTCTTTCTTCTTCAAACTTTGATCTTTCATCATTGCTGAGTGGTTCCGAAGGAACGTTTGCCACAACTGCCGGAATGCTTGTAATGGAGGAGGTGTCTGACAGACTCAACGTACTTGTTTCCAAGTCTTTCAAAGATGTTTGTTCATCTTGAGGAACATTTTCACCTGTAAAAATTTTAATTCTATTCTCAATTCTATTCTCAATTATTTTAGTTATTTAACAATGAAAAGATGTTTATAATCATTTTTAATAAAAAGAAATTTTCTAGGTATTGATAAATTGAAATTACTTCTGTGCTTTATTTTATATAAGTTAAAAATAAACAAAAAAAAGCATTAAAAAAAATCTGTTCAAATTCTTAAAAAAATTTTTTATGAACAGTGAGTTTGGGTCATTGTTATCAAATTTCTCTCACTTGTACTTTCTGTCACTTGTACATAAGACCAGTATTTCCCAGCCTCAGATATGCATACTTCAGACTAAGAAATACTGAGTCTTCCCAGTTGAGCAGCACTTCCAAACAGAGAATATGTGAAAAAAAATCTGCAATGGCAAATGTGATTCAAATCACATTTGCCATTGCACTTCAAATCAGCAACATTTTCAATTTAAAAGAATTTTATATCTAGGCAATTCAAAACTTTCATCACTTTAATCCTTAAAAGCTGTTAATATTAATTTTTTACAGATCTTTAACCTTTCTGTTTTGTTGACTGACATTACATCTATATACAGTAGAGCATCAATTAGCTGAAACAATTCGGGACTGGGGTTGTTCGAAAACCAATTATGTACAAAAAAATATATTAACCTATCCCATGTTGAAATTTGTTCAAATCCTGGTGTGTCCTTAACCCCTTAGCGACTGTAGCTACCACCTGTACTTGTGAACCTCATTTATTAACTCAAGGTGAGCTAAATGATCTTGTTAGGGATCTGAACGTGTGTAAAAAACAGGCTGAACTTTTAGCTTCTTGACTGAAAGGTTGGAATTTACTTCATCAGACAACTAAGGTGTGTTTCTTTCGTTATTGTCAAGATGATTTTCAAGACTACTATTCTGAAGAAAGTGATTTAATTTATTGCAATAATATTAGTGCTGTGAAGGATGCACTGGATCATAAACATAATACCATGGAATGGAGACTTTACATTGATTCATCTAAAATTAGTATTAACACTGTGTTTTTCACAATAGAAAACAAATTTCCTTCTGTACCATTAGTTTATTCAACTAAAATGAAAGAGAGCCATAAAAATATAAAAATCTTCTTAAAAAAATTCATTATTACAAGTACAATTGGATCATATATCATGATTTAAAAGTCATTGCATTATTAATGGGTTTGAAGCTTGGCTATACTAAATTTTGTTGTTTCTTGTGTGAGTGGAATAGCAGACACAAGAAAAATCATTACGTCAAGAAGAAATGGCCAAAGCATTATTATTAATGGCCAACAAAAGTTAATTAGAGATCTTATTCAAAGTGGTAGAAAATTAGAGTGGCCATAAAGAACAATAAAAGTGCTTCAGAAATGCAGTTCTGCTGAATATTGAGTAAATTAGTGTAACTTTCAATGCATTTTGATCATTCTTATGATAAACTCTGGACACAAAAAGCTAAAACTAGTTATTCCTTGCCTGTTCACTGTATCAAAGTTCACACTGTAATAGAATTTATATCTGTTTTGGTTTGATTTTTCTTAAAATAAACTCCGATTTCTTTTTGGAAATATATTGACTTATTTAGAAGACAGTATTTGATAACTTTAATAAAGCTAACATTAATTGGTTATCCTAGCTTTCTCTAACTCACATGTATAATATATATAAATTACTAAGAGTATTTTGGAAGAAATGTAAATTATGAATACAAATTCTGGCTTACATCTTTTACTACTACTATGTATAGTACATTAGTGATATTCTTTTTATAACAATGATGTTATAAAAAGAAACAAACAAAGATGTTACTCTGAATTATGAAATATGAATGAATCAGTTTTATTTACTTTGCAAATATTTATATTTTATTTTATAAAATATGTTCTTCATGTACAGTAAAACATATTTATTATAATAATTTCTAGAGAACTGTACATATATATTGAAAATNTATAAATATATATATTTTATATAATATATATTTATTTTCAATATGTATGTATAGAATTGTCTAGAAATTATTACAAAACAAATTTTTGTACTAACCATTTCTCCATCTGTATAATTCAGAATCAGCTTTTGCCAGTTGAGCTTTTAACTTAGCAACCTTTTCTTTCTCTTTCTCATATCTTCTCTTCCATTCCTCAGCAGTTAATTCTTCATTAACAATAACAGTATTCTTGATAGTTTTTGCTCTGTTAAAAAAAATTAATGTAATTTTAGATTTCTTACTTACAATTAGTCTCATAGCTAACTCAAAATATTAAGTCATTTACCTTCTTCCAAATTCGAGAGTCGATTTTGTTTCCGCTTCATTGAATGATGCTGGGGAACAACATATTATAATTGTGGTTCTGGAGTTACCACCCAAACTTTCTTGAAGAATTCGAGTCAGTTTACTGTCTCGATAAGGAATGTGGCTTTTCTAGAAATTTACATTTCAATTTATTGTAATTAATCAAAAATCTGATTAAATTTATATCAAAAGTAAGTGGAAACAATACTTACATTTCCATCTGCAAGAGCAGAAATAACATTCCCAAGAGCAGAAAGTGATTTATTAATGTTTTTAGCTTCATCTAATACCATTCCTTCTGCACCAGTCTTGCTTACCTAAATAATACACAATTAGCTATAAAGACTATTTCATGTGTTAGTTTTGTTAATAATATAGTAATAATACCATAATTAGAACTTTTAAATAGTATTTATAAGTGCCAAACTATCTGCTATGGTATCGGGTATAATACGGCTAATAATTAGATGTAAAGTAATTTCGTTAAAAGTAGGTTGTTTGGCTACCATCTTGTAATAATTTTAATAATTATAATAAATGAATTTTAATTTATAATTCCTGGAAGACAAGAATTGACCAGAGTGGAACTCAAACCCGCAACTCCTGCACATCATAAAGACACATTGCCAACTACCCAGACTTCTATCTGGCCTTATGGCAAATCATTTCGCATTACTTAAAAACTGGGTTTATGTTTATATAGTATTTATTATATGAAAAATGTTTAATTATTTAATTCAATTACTTTGCTTTTTAATTGCAATTCTATCATAAATCATTAAAAAAAAATTTCCAGCAAAAATACTAAACTCGAAGCTGGATTCTATGTATCAAACAAGTAATTCAAACAACAAGAAAGCTTAGCTAGAGTAAATTAAAAATGTCATGATTAAAGAATGATTAATTTTGACATTAATCAATATCACACCTTCCTTATCTCTTCCAGCAAATGCTGCATAAGAAAATACTCATTAAACCATTAAATTTAAAAGTGAAAATCTGAAGCAGGCTCATAAACTAGTCAAAAACACTTGTTTCTTATATAGTATTGTTGGAAGACATAAGGAAAGTGTGACACTGATTAATGTTAAGGTAAGTTTCAGCTTTGAAAGACCATTGATTAATTTTACTTTCCTGGCTGTTATATAACAGAGAAAAAGTATGGTAATCAGAACTTCAAGAAATGTAATAAAAGTTGTAATTTGTTTACGTATGTATGGATGTTTGTGTGAATGGAACATGAATTTGTCTGTCTACTTTGAATCTTAATTCTTGTGCCTTTTGTTGAAAATTTCTGAAATTTTTCAGTGAGGTTTGTATATTAGGGTAAAATGTTTCTAGAAATTTTCAGGAAAATTTTACTATTGAATTGAGAGATATTAAGAAAGTGTGAGCCATATCTCAAAAGACTTCCAAATTATGAAATTTCTTTTACTTGTATACATTTTCAGTTTACCATAAACATGTTATAATTATTAATAATATGCAAGTTTTTTTAAAAATAAAACCTCATAACAGATCGCACCAGTGACCACACACAATTTTAAACTTTGCTAATGTATTTCTTAAACAAATATTTTTTGCTGGGAAAGTTTGCTATTCATTGCTGAATTTTTTATTAATAATTTTATATCATCTTTTACCATCTTATATTTGTTGAAAATTAAAAACTACAACTTCAGTTCTAAGAAGAAAAATAAACATCAAAATTTTGTAAATTATAAGTTTTAAAAACACATCCTATTACCATAGAAACATAACATAACAGACACTTTTAATGATCACCAATAGAAGTATAAGTACACAACAAATAATTATTTCATTAAAACAACCTCTACATCTTTATTTCAATATTATTTCTTGTATTAGTTTATTTAGTGAACTATTTGCAAAATAAGTTATTTTTATGTAATGCTAACAGACAGTTACATATGTTATCTTTGTCTTTTATTTTGTATTTTAAATTTATAATACAATGTGTAATCAAACGTAACAGAATTAAATAAAATAGGAAGTTCTTTGTCGAAATAATTGTAAGAATCAAATATAGGTATTTTGTGTGAAAATATTAAGTTTTTTGGGATGCAAAATATCCATTTTTAAAGGAAATTGTTTAGAAATAAGGAGTTATAAACAATTTATTTTTTGTTGATTACAATTCTCTTACTTTTAATTGATTAACATAGAGATGATTTTAATAAATCTATGCTTTTACTATGTTATAACAGATATTCATAAATTCATATTAATTTCAAAGATATTTAATTATTAGATTTTGTACTATTTCATAAATGTATTAGTAAGTCTATTAAAAATCAATAATGTACTAATTATTACTGATATTATAGCAGTGACCATTAGAATAGTAGAAAAATTATTGTCTACAAAATACTAACTTTTTCACTTCCTGCTAAATCTACGAGATACAATTTCCCGCTGAGTTTTTTCTGATTTTCTAAATTTTCTTGTTTCACGTTAATGAGAAAAACGCTGTGACTGCGAGAACTGTGCTCATTCATGTCTGTAAATATAATTTGTGATGTAAATGATGATCTGAAAATAATGTGATAGCTATGTAAAAGATTTTGGATAATTTACTGGTAACAGCGATGTGACGATTGGCTTTTCCTTCGTCGATGACTTCCATGACTTCTTCTGGACTGGAGACGAAACGTTCTGTGGCACCCTACAATAAGAATGAGTAAAAAAATTTATTTTGTTTGTATCATACTATGATATATTTGTAATAAATAAAGCAAAAAACTAATACCTTAACGTAAGGAACTCTGTTTTTATCTTCATGCACCGATAGGTTTGTTTTTGAAACTGAAAATAATAATAATACAAATATAAACACCCAAACGTCATAGTTTTATATATTAAAGTCAAACAATTGTAGGATTATATCGGGCTATATGCCAATTCCTATTATTAATTAAATGCTAAGTAATTTGACAATAAAGACAGATGTTAGGCACCATCACTTGCTAAATTTAATAATTATAATTAAATTAATATTTTAATAATTAATTTAGAAGGTAGAGTGGGACTCGAACCAAAACTTCCCCTTACTGTGTGATTGTGTTGTCATATTGTTCAACCCTTTAGCGACACCAGAAGTATACTACACTTACACTTAAAACGAACCTATTACCGTTGTGTATCTTATAAAAAATCGTCTCACAAATGTTTTCGAACTTTATGAAGTTCTTCTTCAGATGGAAATGGAATACTTGTGAAAATGAGCCATAAAAATGCATGCATCAATCAAAAAGAAGAGCTCAACCTATCACCAGCCTGGCAACTTCTCCTGGAGAAGTATCTGTAGTGATTGACACATGTGCACAATGGTGCATGTCCGTTGGAGCGGAATTTGGAGAACTATTTGATTTGAAATCTGTTTGATTTTTCCGCAAGTATTCGATTTCCACCTGAATAAGGTGAAAATGGAATACTTGTGGAAAGTTCAAAAACATTTGTGGGATGACTTTTTATAAGATACACGCCGGCAATAGGTTTGTTTTAAGTGTGATTGTGTTGTCAGCAATCTGGCAATTGTTTGGCTTTAATATGTAATAATAATAAAATATAATTAAAATTTTCATCAATAATAATATTTAATTTACTTTTACCTCAAATTTATTCCTGTTTGTTTCTAAATTTAACATTTCTATATAATAATCTTAAAGTGAGATCAACAGCTATTAATATGCAAATTAATAGTAAAATTAATAAATGCATTAATTCATTTAATTTACTGACATTCGCTAGATTGAAACATGAGGATTATTTTTTCAACCTCCAATGGTCCATAAAACAAAGACAAGTGTAAATAACAAAATTACTTTATTACCAAAAGCAAGGTACAAACATGGTTACTTCTCAACATAATCATTGTGAAGATTGAGGCATTTGTCATATCTGTGGATGATCTTTGCAATCCCCTCTTCATAGAATGTTGCCACCAATGACTAAAGATGGGCCGTAATGTTGTTTTGAAGATCGTCATTAGTCTCGAATCTCTGCCCTCCTAGCCACATTTCCAGTTCAGGAAAAAGATGGAAATCACTCAGTGCTAAATTGAGGCTATTCACTGGGTGTTTAAAAAGTTCCAAGCTGGGTGAAAGTCTTCACACTTTTGATGAGTGAAGACTTCCACTTCTTTCCCAAACAGGAAAAGTGGCTAGGAGGGCAGAGATTTGAGATTAATGACAATCTTCAAAACAATGTTAAGGCCCATTTCAAGTCACTGCTGGCAACATTCTATGAAGAGGGGATGCAAAGCTCATCCACAGACATGACAAATGCCCCAATCTTCACGATGATTATGTCGAAAAGTAACCATGTTTATACTTAACTTTTGGTAATAAATTTATTTTGTTATTTACACTTGTCTTTGGTTTTACGGACCATCGGAGGTTGAAAAAAAACCATCTACATAAATAGACTATTACTAATATAAAAACTGTTGTCTGTGTGTGAATTCCTTGTAACTCCTGCAATTTTTGGTCCAATCCAGATGAAATTTTGGTTATATTTATGTTCTGACAGAAAGTATAGGTTACTTATTTTGCAGAGATATTAGCTATAGAATAAACATTTTATCGATTTTGAATCAGTGATCTCTCTTATGTTGCAGTTTATGTCAGTGACCTCATTTAATTCATGCCTGATGAAAAAATTTTCTTTAACTTCCATTTTTAAACATTTTGGCAAATACCATATTTTAAACTTACTTCATTAAATTTAAAATTTAAACTTTAAAAAAAGATAGCCTTATCATGTCATTTCTACAACAAATATTTTAAAATCTTTCCATAGTGACCATGTGATGTTCTAATCAAATCAGAAGTAATGATCTAACAAGCTTATAACTCAGAAAGTATTACTGCTCATCTAACTAATGTACATACAATTCATCTTTGTTTTATCAATCTGGATTTTAAAAAACTTGCTATTTTGTCAGAAAAAAAAAAAGCCTAGGGAAAAGCATAAGAGTAAAACTGGTCAAGTAAATTCTAGATCTAAAAGAATAAGAACCACCAAGACCCCTGAAGGCTGTGAAGTCTGACTTGAGTAATATTGAGTAAAAATGACTTCGTCAAGAACTGCAGAAACAGCATCACAATGTCAATCATCAAAACAATATTAAAGTGTCTATTACTAAACAAAGACAGCAAGGAAATCTTTTAAAAGACAATAGTGTGTTTACTCAGAATATAGTATAAAGAGTAAAAATAGTATAAAAGTAGTATAAATAGTGTGTTTACTCAGAAAGTGTATAAAGAAATTTTATAAAGAAAGATCTCAATATTATTTTAATATAAAGGCTTAAATCTGTTTGTGTGTAAGTGAATTCTCTATAACTCCTACTATTTTTGTCCACTCCAGGTGAAATTTTATTTTGCTGCTCTTTATGTTACAACAGATAGTATAAACTACTTAATTTAAAGAAATATTAACAACTCTTCTTGAAATCCCTACTCTTCTCAACTCTTCAATCTCTACTTTCTGATAAAAAGTATTCAATCATGCTTAACAGGGGAATTTCTAGTACAGGTAACCCCCATATAACATGGGAGTTACGTTCCAAAAAATTGCCATGTTATACGAAACAAAGAACTAGTGCGAAAAGGGGGCGTTATGTTCCAAAAATTAAAAAACATGCTGTTAAATCCTTATTTAAATTGGATTTATTATCCATTTTATTACTTATTTATTATTTAAGTAAATATTTTACCAGAGGNAAAAACATGCTGTTAAATCCTTATTTAAATTGGATTTATTATTCCATTTTTTCATAGGTAAATTACTTATTTATTATTTAAGTAAATATTTTACCAGAGGATTATTCATCCTGTATGATGATCTCAGCATGAGCATCATTAACTGGTAACAGTTTTTGGGTGCGTTCGTTAATAGCGGTCGCTCTGCAACAGGAGTGTGCTACTGTTTGTAGGCATTTAGGAACGACGGCGAAAGAAAGATGGCAGCAACCGGACTATAGATAGTATTGTGATGAAGGAATCTATAATTCTAAAATGAGCTTTTAGAGGCAAAAGAAGGATTCCAATTGTAAAATTTAACCATTAAATGGATTATTTGTTGAAAGAGCATTCAAAGTAGCCACGAAAACAATTAGAATGCTCGCCGGAGTTACGCAGAGATATAAAAGAACGCACCCTTTATTACATTTCATGTTGTACGAGGGTTTTACCGAATTCCCGAACCGTGTTAGAGTGAACCCGTACTATAAAAGCACCGTGTTATATGGGGATGTTCCCAATTCTCAAACCGTGTTAGACTGAATCCATGCAATAGAAGTGCCGTGTTATACGGGGGTTACCTGTATATGATAAAATCAAGATAATTATTCAACAATTACATTATATAATTAATATATAAATCTGACATTCATCTAAAACAACAAAACAAAGAGTGCTTCACAAATTCTTATTTTGTTCTTGGAAACATAATCTAATCATCTAATTAATAAGCTGATTTACTGACCTATTTTTTGATGTTAGTACTAGACAATGGAAAGATTTTTATACCATAGATGTTTAACTTTCTATTACATGGTTGAAACCTTGTATTTCAAGTAGTGCTTTAAATACCCAAATACATTATAATTTTAAACTAACTTAAAAAAAACCATAGTTACTTAAAACTTAGTTAAAATTTTCAAATCATTTTTAAATCTTAAAATGAGACCAGAGTTTATCATACCTGCACTTGAACTATAATCATACTTGTAAGTATATACTTATAATTATGATCAGCTGTTGGTATTATCATTAATTAGGCAAGAGTGTACAAAAAATAAATATTTTATCTTACAAGGAGATGGCCAGACATTTGTATCTCCAATTCAAATGAAACTTGGTGAGCACATAGCCCTAAATACAAATAGCTTCTTGTCCAAATAATAGGGCCCATTTCTCAAATGTTTCTGAAAAATGGCCCTGTAATGTTTTCATTGTAAAATAGCTAATAACGAGAATTTAGAGATTCATCTTAGTAATAAGTACAGTTTCAATCAAATTATAAGAATTTTCAACAAATAAAGCTAAACACGTAATTTTCAAATTTCACTAAATGTTTTTAATCCCATCAATTACTGTTTATGTATTGTTTATGTATTGGGAGCAATCACAATACATAGTGTTTACACTATGTATTGTGATTGCTCCCAAATCTAATTAAAATCAGCAAGCATGAACATCCATATTATGAAATAGAATTTAAACCTACAATATCATAAACTAAAAAATATCTGCTATCATAATTTATTAAGAAAACAAATCATGTAAACACTTATTTTTCTATAATGATCAAATATGTTTTCTGTAATATAGGAACTGAAAACCATCAATAAAAACAAATTCAATTATCTTTCTAAGAAACATCATTACTTATGTTGTTTTTTAAGTAAAATTTTACAGCAATAATCCAAAATCTTACAAGTAAATCAGTACTTAATTTTAGTGAAAATAGAATATACTTCTTTGAAAAAACTACTAAATGCTGTAAATATTACTAAGAATATTAAAAAAAAAACTATACATCTTCATCAAGATATGACTATCACATTCTTTATTATTCTATATTATTTATATTCTTTAATCAACATAATCAGATGTTACCTTTATGCTTTTAATACAAAATTAAAACAACAGATCTTTAAATATACTAATTAAAATCTATTATTTGATATATTTTCTTACCATCCAAAAGATCTCTAATCTTGTCCAAATATATTTCAAAATAAGACACCTGTAATAAAATAAAATTACACAAATATTAGGTTATTTTGCTCAATGACATAATTTTCACAAATTACAATTAGTACCAAACACTGCTAGAATTAAGCAAGTTACCATATTCTCCAATCTCTCAAAAGAGAATATACATTTGTACAAGTGTTTTATGGACGACATTTTAATCATTTGAAAAGATAAGAGCTATCCAACCTGCCTAACAATATTCTAAAGAATATTGTTTAAAATTTTAAATTTCAAACAATGGTCTAAGATTATAAACAACTGAATATTCGTAACAACACGAACTACTACTAACAAAACATGAATTAAACCACTTCAAAATAAGCAAAATTAATACAGTATAATGAATATTTAATTTAAATGTAAATGCCATTATCATCACATATTAAAGAAGTTTTATAAACTCTCAATTGTTTTAAATACTGTTCAAAAATCCCATCCTTGACTAAAACTCTTCTTAGTGTTACTAAAGAAGATATTGCCAGTTAAACATGCAATCTGTTAAAATAAAGTAATTTGTAAGTAATAATAGAAAAAAGAAACTAGAAAATTTCTTGATAATTCTTTCTAGAATTGAACTTGTGTTTGTAAATAAGAAATGCTAGACTTCTCTGAGGAGCTTGTGAAAAATTTTATGTAACTATCAAGTGGAAGTAAAGCTAATTTTATATTGTCTAATTCAGTTTGTAAAATACTTTAATAGAACATTAAAAAAATGTTTTTCTTTTTGTAGAGCACATTGCAGCTAATAAAAAGATTTTTTTCTGGCAAATAATCAATTTATTTCGTATATTAAGATTTGGATTTTAGATATGTCCTTCACAATTTTCTTATATTTTTTCACTACCACAATAAAACTAATTAGTTTTGTACATTATTCACATATATACAATTTATTGCCAAAAATTAATTTTGAAAACTTGAGTATTTCATTTCTATTCTAATTTACATTCTTTCTGATGACTCCTATTTTAACATCTTGATTTAAACTTTCATTTTCTAACAAGATATTACCAGTAACAATTGTAGATAACAAAAAGTGATGGCTTGGTATGAGGGGGCATTGATGCTATTAAATTTTGGTGGTAAAAGGTCAAGAGGATGGGAGATAGAGGGGATCATGTATCTCAAGAGAGGTCGAACTTAATATTTTATTTGTTATTAACATTTACACTTTCTTATAAAACTCACCCCTACCCTCAAAATTAAGCTTTTGCCATTTTATAGTAATTAAAAACATAAAAGGTTTTTATAAAAATCTGATAACATGGCACCACACACAATTTTATTTTTTGTTTATTAATATAAAAGTTACACAGCGCTCATTGCTAGAATTTATATATGTGAAGTCCATAGCTGTTTTGTTTTCTCAACATCTTTTCTCTAATCATTCTTATGTAAATAGTTTTCTCAACATCTTTTCTCTAATCAGTTCTTATGTAAATAGTTGTTTTCTTTGTAAACTGTTTAAATAAAATTATTAAAATAGAATGGATATAATAATGAGTAAAACTTTCTTTTTCTAATAGTGAGACTAGTGATCCTTATCACATCTTTTTTAATTATCTGCATAAAACAGAGACCAAGATTAAAACAATTCACTTTATTTGCCTATTTAATAATGCATTTTGTATTGGTATTATCCAATCTTTCTTCAGGCTACATATTTTAAATTTAGAAAACAATTTTAAGAAAATATATACATTAACAAAAAAAAATTAAGATTTAAATTTACAAGTATACAAAATGAACTTCACAGCTCCAGTGTCCAAGTTTGTTGTCTCTCTCTACCTAATTTCACATTTGCAACACCTTTTATGATTCTTGATGAAGTCATAACTTATTTTAATTTCCATCCCATTATTTAGGTTGATACTATTTTGAGTATGGGTAATAGCTATGTGTTCTTTAAAGAATGTATGGCAAGGCTTTCTCTTAAGCACCCTTCTTTTCTCAAATATATGCTGATTTTTTGTTCTATAGTAATTTGTCTACCACAGTTGCTTATGATGATGATTTTAAATTTATTAACACAATTACTCTATTTTACAATCTGATACAGAGTCCTCCTAAACTGGCCTGAGTATAATATTCAGATAAATACTGAAAAAAATTATTGCAATGCTTTTTTCTCTTGTCACCCACAAATTTCTCAACTTACAACTAAGTTAAACACAAAGATAAAAGTGCATTAAATAAAGTATGTTTTTAAATAAGTTCTGTAATTTACTTTTCATCCTTCTCTTGTGATTGTATGTGAATAGTTGAGCTTACCCAAACTATAAAAACAAATAAAATATTATGACAGAACTCTTTACTGTGAGAGATTTAATAGTTTATTTGATCCATATATCCTTTGACAAAACACTAGGCTCAAGATGTGTGTATTCAAATGAAATACATACTTATAACCAAGTGTCATTTTTCTTCTAGAATTATTCGAACTTTTATCATGTGGCATGAAATATTGCATGATAAAAGATTCTGAATCTGAAGGCATTCTTTACTTTGTTTTAACACACAGTGTTTTACTCTGTTTTTATCTAGTATGTAAATTTTTGTTTTACATATTTTATTTTTGTGTATTTTATGGGTTACCATTGTTTTATTGTCTCTCATTTCTTTGGGGAAGGCTTTTCTTGCCAAAGAACATTGCCTTCTTTTTGTATTGAAAAAATAAAATAAATGTAACACAATCTTGATAATCTGTACATTCACTAGTTTGACACATCCATTTAATCTGATACTAGTCAACTCTCAAATATTACCATCCTAGCTGCCAATTCCCACTAAATTTGAACATCTTTCCTCTAAATGTGACATGATATTGATGAAAGCTTGAACACTCAAATTTGGGTACAATATTAAAGATGCTTGAAATCTTAGGCTGCTCAAAAACAGGTTCAGTATTTTATAACACAATACTGTATAAATACAGGTATCCCTTGTACAACACGGCACTTCTATAACATGGTTTCGCTCTAACAGAGTTCAAGAAATTGGGAAATCCTCTGTACAAAATTTCAGAGTTTTTGAGTGTAAATTGTGTTATTCTATATTTTTTTTATTCAAGCAAGCATACCTGTTGTCTCAAATCTACAATATTGAAATTTTCAATTTCTTTTGTGCCTTTCATCAGGTTTATTTTAATGAAAACTAATAGTACAATTTTTACTTCCTTTCCTGTCAACCAGGTGTCATTGTCATTGCTTTCAGCCCTTAATAAGACTATCACTGTGTTTTGATTCAATAGATTAATCTTTGTATTTAGTAAAATTTATTTATTTCAGCCCTTAATAAGACTATCACTGTGTTTTGATTTTATAGATTAATCTTTGTATTTAGTAAAATTTATTTAAACGTTTTTAGGTAAATGTTATTAAACATTTTTAAACCATAGGTAGGTAATCATTCGTAAAAATGACAAAGAAAATACAGCAGTATCTCAGTACTCAAACTGTTCCCAACTCAAACGATTCAGTATTCAAACAAATTTTGGAAAAAAAATCACTCGATATGCGACTGAACAAACGAGGACCACCTAGAACAAATTTTCAATTAATAACATATTTTTATTTTGTCACCCATAAAAATATTTTATGGTAAAAATNAATCACTCGATATGCGACTGAACAAACGAGGACCACCTAGAACAAATTTTCAATTAATAACATATTTTTATTTTGTCACCCATAAAAATATTTTATGGTAAAAATAAGAAAAAGGAAGACATTACTAATATTTCTGACCAAGATCAACAAAAAAGCTCATTTATGGAAAAAAACAGTAGGCTATACTTTTGCTAACTTTTGGAATCTAATCCTATGTTTTGCCCTAGTCCTTTGTCTTGTATAGCAGGGATTTGCATAACACGGCACTTTTTCAAAAATGTAACTACCGTGTTATATGAGGGATATCTGTATTCATATAAGACTTGATCTCCTGAAATTTCCCACCAAAAATATTGTACTTTCTATTAAGTTTAGTGGTAATTCACAACTTGGCAATACTGATTACCAGTGGCGGCAGTGTACTCAGATGACAAAATTGAAAAAGACAATTGAAAATTATTTTAAAAAGACTGATACAGTAATATACGATTAATAAATGTACTAATATTAATACAATTTTTGATTAATACTATGTACTAATATTATGCAAATAAACAAATGTTTCCTTTCCTAATGATTACACCGTCGAATTTGTCTTAATTCCTATAATCTGACAATCTCCTTAATCTGAAATTGTTTCAGTTCCATATCTGTAAGATCATCAAGATATTTACTTTGATATTACATTGTATTTACCTTGTATTTATTTTCATATTTCATAACACAAATATTTTCTGTATGTCTAAGTTTCAGAATTCTCTTCATTTTAACAATATAAATATCTTCTTATTGATTAACAGTTCTTTAATTATCATCAATACAAAAAAAAAAACCACTAAATAAATGGAAGTAAAAAATCTACCAGGAAAAAACATTGTTCAAAGCCCAATTCTCTCATCAGATTGAATGTTCTTTTTAAAAAAAACGCAATCTGACAATGAGATAATATTGAGGTCTTGAAAAGCATTTTTTCTGGTTGATCTTTGACTTTTCTAACTTATTTAGCATTGATTTTTATCCCGACAATAAACAAGACACAATTTCCCTTTTAAAACTGACATGCAATAAATTCCAATTTTCTTTTAACTGCCATAAAATTTATCTTCATCACTGAAATATATTTTTCTAGAATTTCTGAATAAGATTATTCAAATCCAAACAACAGAATTTCTTTTAAATTTTCAACAACTAAAATTTTTTTAGTGGATTCTAAAATGAAAATAACAAATTATTGTTTTTTGAGAAGCTAAAACAAATATGGAGAATGTACTATTGCTTAACGACTATTCTTTTGATAATAGAAAGAATAAATGTAATCACGCTTTCATAAAACAATAGCATGTCAAAACCATTATTATTGTTTGCTGCTTTATCTTGAATATTTGAAGTAAAATTTTTAACTAGAGGAAATATTTTTAGTTATTGATAAAGCTAAAAATATTAACTTTATTTCTAAAACAGTTTTACAGCATGAACAACATTTTAAAATAAAGTTAATGGTATAGAACTAAACCACTTTTACACTATTAAACAATTACTCATGTAGTAAACAATAAAACAGCAGAGCAGCTTGTCCTCCTTTTTTCTCCTTTGAAAAACATCAACATATTCATTAATCTGTTATTCATATTCACTCTACAAATTTTAGTATGTCTAATATTCTGAAAAAGGAAAATCAGTTCACTATGATTCAGATAATATAATTGATAATATACCTATTAGGTTAGTGAAATTGTAGAGCAATCCTTTTCCAAACCCAAATTGGTTAATTTAATCAAATGATGAAGCCAAATTCAATTATCCATAACTTGGTTTGAGTTAATTAGCCAAGTTATGGCTCAATGAATGTAGCATTGTTATTTGATTAATTTAAATTTATCTTATTCTTTTTTTATATTAATTCTTTACTAATTTTTTTATTTTAAGTTTTTAAATATAAAAATTTAGGATAGGAAAATTTTCCTATCCTAATTCCTCCCTCTAGTGTTTGGTAATTTATTATTTTTATTATAGCCATTATATAGCCTGATAGCATATGGCAGTGGTTGGCTTTAGTAGTAAAATTTTTTTTAAATTTGAGTAGATAAGGTTATAAACAATTTAGAAAATTAATTATATCAAAACATATTAAAAGTTGCATTGCTTCTTTAGGAAATAATTCTGGTTCACAACATATAATCACAAGTCAGTTGCATTCCATAAACAGACATGGGGATAAGCAGTATTGCCTCCATATTCCTGTAGAAATTCAAGTTTATTAGAGATTTTTATTAATATTAAAAACTTACAATACTATTTGATGTGGTAATCTCTCTTCTAAACTTGAACTTTTAACAAAAATGGAAAAGAATAATGTATATATTATTTGTAAGATAAAATTATTTTATGACTGCAATCTTTATCAGACTTCAAATAATTTATATTAGTAACTTACAGACTTCATGCTTAGACTCCTTTTCTAATTATGATTTCAGCTTGTATTTAAGAAGTCAGATTTAATTACTGTTAAATACTTTTAAGAAATTTATCTCTCACTTTCAGAACAATTCAAGAAAGTTTTTAATTAATTATCTGAGAAAATTATTAATTAAATACTTTTATGTTAACTGCTTTCACATCATCAAACAACTAAATTTATAATTTTTTTTATATAACACCGGCGATTCCTCCGAGGAGAAGAAAGCCAGCCACCTTCAGCCACCAGCTCTTACGACTGATGCTTAGAAGTGACTCCTTGAGCCCGTGCTGCAACTCCTGGCATGCCGACACACTTTCTCCCACCCAGTAGTACGCCGCAATCGGTGGAGTCACTTCTAAATTTATAATTTCCAGTCTAATAAATTTAACTCCATTTTTTAACTAATTCACTAAAATAATCACGGTTATTAGCTTTCAGAAATAAAAAAAATTTCATACTCTGTCTGTTTACAGACAAAAAATTTATTTTGATTAAACATTTTATCATCATCTATACTTATCTATGTATGTGAGGTTTAATGATATGTTATATTGTTATACTTATCTATATATAGTAACATATACATATTTAAATGCATATATTTTATAAATCAAATGCATTGAAAAATACTGACCTTGATGTGGAATTCAATGTTTTCATCCATGGAATAAATATGATTGAAAATATCGTTAATAATTCGTGGGATGATACCTTGTTGGAATGGATCACCAAGAACACCCTAAAATAATAAAACAAAAAATTAATATTCATGATTCATGTCAGTAAAATCAAATAACTCCGATCTGATCTAACTCTGTGTAATAAATTTTTATATGTAACTAAACTTCAGCAAATCTAAACTCCTTAAATATGATATAAGAAAAACCTACTAGTTGCATTACGATAATATAATGCAAATACCTTTAAAACTAGCATATAATTTATCCACTGCAAACGTTTTCAGCTGTTTTGATGGCTTTCCTCAAGTTTTCAAAGAATAACATAATTCCAAATGGAAAATTAGAATTTAGAATCAATTGAAATTAAATTAACATTAAAGAATCATTGCAATGGTTACATTCAAACTAGATGGAATGTTTTTCACATTAGCTGAATTTAAATTGTAAGGTGGTCATAAAATAACCTGACCAATCAGCAGAAATCTCAAGAACGTGGAAAGCATGGAATTCATTAAAACTTTTGCAGGAGAAGTACAGGGTGACATATGCTCATGTTACATTAACAGTGATACATGTTCTATCTCTATTTTGTAGTTAATGAAATCTTATATTGAAAATTTCCAACATAAACACTGGGAATTCATGATGTCACAAGATTCTGCATGATGCATTGGAACAGTGTATGTGGAATGAAAAATAACAGATACTGGTGTTTGAACAATGGGAAAAAGTGAGCCAATACCCATAATAGAAGACTATGAAATGCATAACCAAAGCAGAAAATGGAAGAATGCATGATTTGTCTGTATTCAACTTGACAGATGCTTTTATATCCTGCATCTGACATCACAGTAAGCTTCAACTACAGTGCTGCTACCTCATTCACAAACCTGTAAGAGTCTTCTGTCACAGATACTGGCTTATAATTTCCACTGTTTAAACATCAATATCTCTGTTGTTCTTTGTTCTACATACACACCACTCCAATGCCTTATGCTGTTTTCTGTCATGCAAACTCTCACAACACCATGAATTCCCAGGGTTCATACTGGAAATTTTCAACATATGGTTACATTAACTGTAACGGTGATGTGTGTTCTATCCCCATTTTTGTGTGCTTCAAGTGCATGTCATCCTGTACTTATCCTGCAAAAGTTTCAACAGATTCCTAGCGTTCCATGATCCCAAGATCACCACTAGCTGGTCACATTACTTTATGACCACCCTTTACATGTAATGTCATACAATTGGCATGGTCCCCACATCCTATAGTGAGCTCCCCGACCAGGATTATTGGCAATCCCACTCCCCCCACTTGAACCCAAGACTTTAGTGGTGTGAGGCAAGGGACCTAACCACTCAGCCCCCATAGTTGCTTTGGGATATGATAAGGCAGCTAAATGACAAAAAATGTTATTTTCATTCACAAATTAAGCACGCATTTACATAAACATAGATTAGATTTATTAGAGACAATAGAGGAATATTCCACAAGAAAATCCAAGCAAAGCAAAAAATACAAGCTAGCCATCCTCATACTGGGTCACCTGACTAGGGTCCACTCAGTCACTACCATTTGGGGGCCATGCTAATTGGTCACATTTAAGATTCTTTCCTAAAAATTATATAAAACACATAACATATACATAAAATCAAAGCCTATACAAAAACTATAAAGATGCTTTAAGATGGTATTTTATAGTGAGACTTCCAAGCATAAGAAAAGCTGTCAATGTCTTTAAAGTTTATTAATTTGCCCTCCTTTGATGACTTAGACCAGTGGTTCTCAAAGCGGGTGCCGCGGCACCTTAGGGTGCCTCAAGTACGCTACAAGGGTGCCCCGAAATTTTTAAATAATTAAATTAAAATTACTTAAAATAATTGAATTAAAGTATTAAATTAAATAAATAATTAAAACAATTATAAAAAAATGAATATTGGTTTTTCTACTAATCTTGCTACGTCGCCACTTGTCTCAGTGACTCGGTAATTGGCGACACGTAAATACTAGAAACAAAACGAACTAGTTACTAATTGTCTGTTCTTCTGTTCCTGCAACGAGTAGAAGTGCAATATAAATGCGTTGAATGCAGTAAGTAGTTGTTTTTATTATTGTTATATGTTCAGACAATAACGAAAAAGCATCATATACAAATATTTTTTCTTCTTTACAGCAAGAAAAAATAAATTATTAACTTGTAATTAAATTTTATAATAAAATATTGAAGTTAATTATGTCGTTAAATATCACGAATAATTTTTTCATTAAAAAAAGAAAACAAAGATTCTAATGATCAAGAAGTGGTTACTGGTAGCAAAGCTAAGGAATCAATTAGCACTAGTAAATCATCAAAAATTGAGACCTCTATTGTGAAGATTTGACTATTTTTAATGTTGAGCAACAAACAAGCACTGTTGAAACAAAAGAAACAGAAACAGTAAGTTCTCGTAAAAATGTTGCATTGAAAAAGAATGTAAAAACTCGCTTATATCAAGACAGTTACGTAAAAATGGGATTTACCTGGTGTACAGCAATTGTGAGAACAATTTTTGGTGCTGAAGCAGAAGAAATAAAAATGATTCCTTCGTCAAATGACACTATGAGTAGACGTATTGAAAAATCAGTTATAAATAAAATAATCGAATCGAAATTATTTAGTTTGCAGTTGGATGAGTCAACTGATATCGGTGGTAAAGCACAATTACTTGCCTTCACTCGATTTATTGAACATGATAAAATTTTGGAAAGAATTTTTATGCTGCAAGAAATTCGAAAAAACTACAACGGGCAAAGATGTTTTTGATGGTAGAAATGTTTATTCAAGTTGCCAAAGGAAAATGTAACAATACAAATTTGCAAAAACTTATTTACAGTCATTTAACGTCGTTAGAAGAAAAAATTAACCATTATTTACCTGACATATAAGTTGATTTGTACCACTGGATTCGAAATCCTTTTATAGAGACAACATCAGAAATAAGTTCAGTCTTGCAGAAGCCGAAGAATTAATCGATATACGTAACGATCGTACGTTAAGATTGAAGCATTCAGAAATGAGTCTGAATTCATTTTGGATAACAATTATGAAGGAATATCCCAATATAGGATTCAAAGCACTTAATATTTTATTGCAGTTTTCCACATCGTATCTCCGTGAAGTGGGATTCTCTACACTCGTAAATATTAAAACAAAGAAGAGAGAAAGACTTGAAAATTAGATGAGGATATGTCTCTCAAAAACACAACCTAATATCAAGGAAATATACAAACACCATCAGGCGCATACTTCACATTAAGTTCACATTTTATCACCAAATACCTTTATAATAATAAATTTTGTTTTGAATGTTTTTGTGTTGTTTGGAAATAAACTTACTTATTTTAAAAAACTTTTATTTTTTTCAAAACCTTCTCATCCTTCATATTTTTACTAACCGTAAAAAAGCAAAAAAAAAAAAAAAGGTAATGATAATAATAGTAATAGGGGTGCCGTAAATTTTGTTTAATAATTTCAGTGTGCCACAAGACAAAAAAGTTTGAGAAACACTGACTTAGACAATTGGAAGAATTAGAAATTTATAAGATAACAAGGAAATCCTGATGATAATTCAAACTTGGATACTTTGAAATCATGTTAGTTTGTAATTGTACTTTTGTCTCAGTCAGGAATATAGAGATTTACAAATATAGGTTAATTCAAAAATATGGGGCTACTTCGTAATTCAGAGTGAAAATTCTGTCCGAACTGTGACTTGATCTAAACAAATGAGTTAACATTCATTTAGATCACCTTACATATAGACTACACATTTTTCTCTTATTTCATAAAATATGGCTGGTTTCAGGAATGCAAAATTGGGCTACAAGTAGAAGATCCAGATATTTGTAGGGCTCTAGGCTACTACTTTTGGGCATCTTACTACTTTTTCGGCCACTTTAAAAATAATTTGGGCTACATTTCAAGGAATTCTGCTTTACTTTTTATAAAACATATCTGGAGACCTGTGAGGTTATACCAGATGCATGCTGTTTACTTGCAGTTTATTTATATCCCTATTAATTATTGAAAATAATGTTCTATATAAATATCCCTATTCCATTTGCTTAATAAATTACATCAGTTATGTAGCATTTGACATATTATACAGAAATATGTAAATCTCGAATAATTCAAAGTCGCAAATATTCTGTTCCATGAATTTGAAACTAACAAGGATTTCCTGTATATACAGTTTAGATTCTTCCAATGTGGTTTAAATTTAACCATTGACTCTACATTATAGTTTTCCATTTGAAACTATGCTATTCTTTTACAGTCTGAAGAAGGCCATTGAAAATGGTTGAAAATATTTGCAGAAACAAAATTATATGCTAATTTTAAAATTGTTAGCATTGTACTATCCTTAAATATAAGGTGCATTGCAAAAATATAAGGCCACTCCAACTTTTTGGAATAATAAATTTTTATCACAAACAAAAAGCTGGTGACAGAAATAAATGTAGATGTAAAAGAATTACTTATTTTTATTTTTCATTGTAAATAGAATAAAAAATAATCGTGTTGCAAAAATATAAGACCAGTTGCATTTTTGAGCGATTTATGAAAAAAAAATTCGCTGTCACCTATAATTTGATAATTATAAAGAGATGGCTGCACTCCATAATTGCAAATAAATAAAGATATAATTGAATTTATATTGACATTAGTTGTTGTGATACTTCTATCCATTGTTAAAATTATGTAAGTCCTAAACTGCCTTTGAGTGTGGCAAATCAGGGCACTACAACAGGCTAGAAGTTCTGCTAGACCTATTGCAAAACAGCTGAAGAGATCTTGTTATGTTGTAGCCAATTATATTAAACTTAGTGTGCAATGTGGAAAGAAAAAACAAATTGGATGGTCTTGTAAGTTGGCAAAAAAGCAAAAATCAGCAATTATCTGGGAAATATCAACAGCAGAAATATCATTAGGTAAAATAGCTCAAAGGCCTGATGTTAATGTTTGCAAATACACACTTTTCCAGATAGTAAAATCAACAAAACATCTAGTGTATAAAA